CCGAGGCAGGAGGATACAAATTTAGGAGTGGTTGAACACAGGGAAACCGCGGCCACAGTTGTAAACCTTTCAAGACCCGCCGGGATTTCGCAACCAAATCAACATCCTAAGAGAAAAAGGGGAAAATATTTTCAATACAGCAGCGAGGATCGCGTAAAAATTGGGAAGGTCGCAAGTGAAAATGGAAACCAAAAAACCCTAGAACGCTTTATTGAAGAATTTCCAGGCTTAAAAGAAAGCACAGTGCGTGCCTTTAAAAAGGCATTTCGAGAGGAACTTTCTGCGCAAACAAGACAAGGAAACGTTCAACTGGTGACGTCCCTTGAAACGCAGAAACTTGGGCGACCACCGTTCCTTCTCGAGCTGGACAGCAAACTCATCGCATTCTTAAAAAACTTCAAGTCCAGAGGTGGTGTAGTGAACGGCAGCGTCGTTTCAGCTGCTGCGAAAGCACTGATTAGCAGCAATCCGTCAATGCGTGACAAGTACCTCTCATTTACACTCACATGAGGATGGACTCAATCTATTTACAAGCATTGCAACTTTTCCCGGCATGCAGGTACAACAACCAAGCCACCAGTTCCAAGAGGAGTTTATGACGAATGCAAGCTCACTTACCTGTCGGACATTGACAATTGCATCAAGCAACACAATATTCCACCAGAACTTATTCTTAATGCTGATCAAACACCGAGTTCTTACGTATCAGTGGGTCGAATGACCATCACAGCAACAAACTCTCAGTCTGTACCAATCAAGGGTTTGACAGATAAGCGTAACGTCACTCTAACATTTGTAATTTCTTTGTCTGGCGAATTTCTCCCGTTGCAAATTATATACCAGGGTAAAACTAAGGCTAGCCTTCCTCGGAACTTTAGTTTTCCCAAGAGCTTTTGTGTCAGCCAAAACCCAAAGCACTATTCAAACGAGGCAGAAACAATAGGCCTTATTGATTCTGTAATCAATCCCTACGTGGTTAAGAAACGCAAGGAACTTGGCCTTCCACGATCTCAAAAAGCGCTTCTTATCTGGGATGTCTTCAGAGGTCAGAAAACGCAGAAGGTTTGCTCGAAGCTCTCCTCACTGAATATAGAAGTCATTTCTGTCCCAGCTAACATGACACATTTTTTTCAACCCTTGGATCTAACGGTCAATGGACAGGCCAAGAAGTTTTGCAAGAACAAGTTCGCGACGTGGTATTCCGCAGAAGTCCAGAAACAAGTGGATAGTGGAATCAATTTTGAAGATGTCGATGTTGATCTCAAACTATCGGTCCTTAAACCAATCCATGCCACTTGGTTGGTAGAGTTGTATAACTTTTTCACCAGCACTGAAGGAAAGGTTTATGTTTTGAAAGGATGGGAAAAAGCCGGAATAGAGGATGTTTTAAATGGAAAAGAAGTGCTATCCCCTGTTGATCTGTATCAAGACATTTACGCAAACGATTAAACGGCATCAGTTGTGCAACTAAACAGCAACATTTTTTTCCTCGCAGTTAGCAGAAAGGAATATTTAATGTAATGGATATTAAGGTCAATTGACCAGTAATAACGTGACTTGCATTCAAGCATGGGCAGGTACATACTGTGCCTTCTAGACGCTGTGAGAACATCTTTCTTGTTACTGTTTACATAATCAGCTGCGTTTCTGTTTATTTGGACATTGTTGATTAAGTTGTTTGATCAAATTTTCAAGGACATGTAAAATAACATTGACAAAGATATAAATTGTGTCTCACTCAAAAACGCGAAATTAAAGTGAGTCAAAATGCAAAATTTTCGCAAAATCGCGAAAATAAGGTGTCGCGAAATTAACATGTCGCGAAAATTTCATGTAATAAGGTACTGAACTGATGTTTATAACTAAAAGGTGTGACGGAAAACTGAAAATCGATCCGATCCAACACAAGACTTAAAAGTAAATTGACACGCTGAGCACATTATAGAAACATATTTCAATGAAAAAACAAATACAGTTATTTAAAACAACAAATAAAAAACGCCCATTGGCTCGGTTTGCACAGTTGCAACGGAAATGAAAACAAGTGCCAAAAGACAAAAGGTCAACGCTATAAATAAATCGCTAATCAAGCATGACGAGGGCATAAACAATACCCAACTTTTTCTAATTTCACTACAAGACATGATATTATTTAGAGATTGATCACAGAATTTAATCGATGGCCCATTACAAGCATGAAAAGAATGGATTTTAAATCGTACATACCTTCTTGTTGGCGGCCGCCATTTTGAGATCATACGCTTTCCCAGTGTTCTTTGCAGGCCTATTCAAAAGCGAAATTCCCGCCAAAGCCCCGCTAGCCCCGCTAACGGTCCCCGGTCGCTGTTATTTGTGTCTAATGTTGTCGAACACCCCACACACTGGGGCAAAGATGACCACTAAAAACCGCTAAAATCCCCCGCTAATGACCCGCATTCCCCAGGTATGGGGGTGCGGGGCTTTCCACTGACTAGTGCATAAAAGTCACTCAAACGAAAGCATTTCCACTCATTTTACGCCTTCAGCTGCCTGTAAAAAGAAACGTAAACCATGCGGGCCTTACAACCAGTATCTTTCTCAGCCAGGAGCAAAGATACCACGAACGACTTTAAAGAAGTGGCCAGATAAGAGCACCATGATTGCTTCTATTTCGGCAGGTGATCTTTGTAGCACAAGTTCACAGACAAGATCAGGGCAACTGAGATCAGGCACTGCCTGTAGCGGCTCTTCCACTAATACCTAATACACGGAGACGAGTTCTTTTGGATTATTACACAGTTTGTTACATTAGAGTGGTATTACGTCTAAAAGCTCTTTGGTTCAATGCGAGGAACTCGATGAATTCCCATGCCCGTATGGCGATGACAGCGACCAATCTTTTGAGACTCCAAGTGATAAGTTCACCCTCGTAGAAAGTGACGTTGGAAAAACTCCCAAGGTCACTGAGTCTGAACAAGCCACGATAGATGCTGTTGAAGATGATCAAGAGGACGTTGAAGAACACTTGGATGCTTTCGACCCTGACGAAAGTGCTGGTGGAGTAAACGCGGATCAGGAAGAGAGGCAGTTTGAAGATGTTCCCTTGTACGATGGAGCACCAATCAGTATGGCATTCAGCATGTTACTTATCGTTAGGGACTTGTCTGAAATTAGCAGGGGGAGGGGGGTGGGAATTTTAAATTTGGGTTCGGAAATTAGGTGACCCATCCCTGCAATGGGAGTGAAATTTGCTAACCCTCCCCTTGAGCTTGGCCTAAAATATCATGACCCTCTCCCTTTTGTATAAATGATAAGATCTAGTTCTTGCAATACACTAGGGTGCGTCAGTATTATGAAAACTCAAAATATATTTCTAATCTGTTCTTTGTCATGCTACATACATACATTTTCAATGACAGCATTAAGAGTCCGACTGATCACTCGACTCTCCTATTTCTCCCAATACAAAGTCTTCATCACTAGAACAAGTGGGTGATGCCTCATCCCCTTCATCTACCTCACATTCATCATGATCATCCACCTCTTCCACACTGAGGGAGCATTGTTTGTTTGTTTTTGTGCTCTCGCAAATGACTGTAAGTGATCCCTAATAGCATTGACTTTCTGTGGCTTGTTTTTACCCTTCACTGCAAGCAAATTATGTTTATCGATGTATTTGTCCAAAAGACATACACGCTGTTTCGCTAGTGTTCCACTATTCAGCATTTCCATCCAGTCAAATTCCTCATAAGACATTGTGTTCTCTTTCAAATTCTTGTTTTTCTTTTCCATTTTTCTCTTCCCACTCATCATCTCTAAATGATTTAAATGTGCTAGGTATTTTCTCACAAGACTTTCTTCAACAATGTATCTGTTGCTAAAGGTCTGAACACTTGCACTATCCTCGATATTGATTTCATTCTTTTTGTGGGCTTGCTTTAAACGTGCTCTAGGGTGATAATCATCCACTCCTCTTCTTTTACCGTCTTCTGAGTACGTGATATTAACAACAGCCTTACAGAATTGAAAGAAAAATGTTCCAGGCTCTTTAAGGTGCAGTATTCCAAGCCAACAAGTAAAAAAAGGAAACAAAAACAAAATAAAAGGAAAGCAAAGAAAGCTAAGGCAACAAGAATGGAAGCTAACTGCAAAAGAGTTGTTGAAACCATTGCACTTCAGCAAGAGTCGCATGATGTTACAGAGCCTATTGGCCCATTATCTCTTCATTATGAAGGAATAAGTGGGCTCCTCAAAACACAAAGGCCATATATCCAATATGCCTTTGAAAAGGGATTGTTCACCAAAGAATCACAGGACATTATCAAGCAATATCTACGCTTCAACTTAAATGAAAATCATGATGACGATGAAAGTGATTGTATCAATGCTGATGAGATAAATGATGATGATCAAGATTCTCACAGCAGCATTGATGGTGATGCTGAAGACAGTGATGAATAGGATAGCCAGAACTCTACTAACATTATTAATAACAACATTATTCATAATTTCAATAAGACTATATAGCATTGTTATAAATGGAAAGTACATGTTTGTTAAATTCTTGCTATAGTACTTCACAGTTTATATCCATAACGTTCTGTAAACCGTTGTATTTTTCTCTTTTTTGCCAAATAAAGAACTTCCTTTTTCTTCTGTGTGTGAACCTCTACATGATCACGGGCATATATTTGCACGACCCTCCCCCTTTTAACTGCCCATTTTTCATGACCCCTCCCTTTTCTGAGGCTCAAAAAGTTGACCCCCCCTCTGTTTCCACCCCCCCTCCCCCCCTGCTAATTTCTGACAAGTCCCTTACATACGCTGTTCGACATAGTTTAACCGGACTTGCGCTTGTTGATCTATTAACGCTCATTAGCCTTCACTGTGCGTTGCCAAATCAATGTGCTTCTTCAGTGGCCCTTCATAAGAAGTTCTTCATGAAATCGAAGAATCCCATCCAGTTTCACTACTATTGTACTTTTTGTATGGAATATCAGGGATTGTCTATACCAGAGGATAAATTGTGTAAGAACAGATGCTGTTTGAAGGATCTATGCAAGAAGGGGAATTCTTCATACTTCCTTATTATTCCACTTACGTGCCAGCTGAGGGACCTAATACAAAGTATGTGTTCTTAATAATAATAATTGTTTTGTATCAATTTTGAATTCTGGCACGATCAATCCATGGAAGTGATAACAACAATTAATCAAGTGAGCAGTATCAAAAATCATTGGCCAAGAATTGTTTTTATAGGTGCTATTGTTTGGCATCAAATTATCATTGATTGCCAGCGAGCACTGTACAGTGTATGCACATGCTACATGTACCTTAACCTCCTAAAGTAGAACCCCAGTAACTGGAACTCTCAAGGGAAACAAAAAGCATTTCAGTACTATTTAGCAAGGATGGAATGAATATTAAATTTTCCATATTAATAACAACTGATTTTTTAACATTTCAGTATACAATGCAGCACAAATTAAACTTATCTCAACAGAAACTGTAACACAATTATGCATTCTTATGATAATATGTACAGTATTTTGAATGTATGTATGACTCTTAAGATTGGGAAATGATTGTCATACGTGATCTGTTCATTGCAGCTAATGGGATATTTCCGTGGGCATCGGTGACAGTTGTTACAAGAACCAGAATTCAAGTGATCGGGTAAATTTTGATCAAAAGAAAAAAGCAACAGTTTGAGTTAGCGGAGAATTTGAATTATCTGAGTTTGAGTTAACCAAGTAAAGATGGCTGAAAAGTGAGGTCAACTCCGAGGAAAATGGGAGTTTAATTGTGCATGTAGTTTGAGTTAGTGGGGGAGTTAGAGTTATATGAGTTCAAGTTACTGGGGTTCTACTGCATATGCTGTGGTAAATTACTCTAACTGATAACATTAGTGACTTGACCTGCAACTGCTAGTAACACAATTTGCATGCATTTTTTTTAAGAGACTGGCATCCTTGATCTTCTCAAGTACCCAGTTACAAGAAGCAAGAGCAATCCAGATGCCATTGAAGACATTCAGGATGGACTGCTCTGCAGAAAGCATTTTGGAAATGATGGGTTTTTCAAGGGTGCATCAGATGAGAAAAAGAAGAGTGAAATCCACATCAGTTTTCAGATCAATACTGATGGGGTAGCCCTTTTCAGGTCTTCTAAATACAGCATTTGGCCAGTTTACCTTGTGGTTAATGAGCTTCCACCAAACTGTAGGTAGATATGCAAATACAATATCTTTGCTTACTCTTCTTCTTCTTCTTCTTCTTAGCTTGAGCAAATAAATGCACTTTTGCATTGATATTATCTACATGATCCTTCCACTTTAGATCATCTCTTAGTGTAACATCTAGAACCTTAGCTGATAAGCCAGTTCAAAGATGTTAGTATCGACCTCAAGTCCAGGAATGTCTACTTCTGCTTCTCTGCACTTAATAATATACATGAAAAAATTACTCGATTCTGATTGGCTGAGAACAGTGCAGTTTTTCCTTAACACAGTGCAGAAAAGAGGTAATTGAATGCAAAAAAGGTAATAAATAAAGCAACCATTCTGATTGGTCAATGAACAAAGAAGTTCACAGATAGCCAATAAAATCTTTTGTTTTCAAATCAAGCGCGCACCCTGGATGGCGCGATTATGGCACAATTTTTTCTTGGTTTTTTCTTGGTTTAGCGCCGCACAAAACTGAGAAGAGAGTTCAGAGTCCGTAAAGTTCAAAACATCCTTCACACAAATTTTTTCATGTATATTATTAATAGGTAATCATACAGTTTTTCTTGTTCAATTTGTAATTAATTTGTACTTGTGAGTTTTTCAAAAAGCAAAATTGCACTCACCGAAGCGGCTCGTACAATTTCAGCTTTTTGGCAAACTCACTTGTGCAAATTAATTCCAATTTGAACTCGAAACCGCATGATTACCTATACTAAGTGAGCTCAGTTGGAAGTTGTTGGCGTTTGACTTATTTAGATCATGATCCACTGTGGCTTATAAATGATTTGCGCCAAACTTTGGAACAATTTCCGAGACTGTTGTTTCATCAGCAAATTTCTGTCATCAGCAAATTTCTGTCATCAGCAAATTTCCACATATAGCCCTTAATGTGCGGGCTGCAAATAACACAACATAAACGCAAGTTGATCACACTACCTCATCCACCAAGGTGTTTACATGTAAATGAGAATGACTGTGGGGAGACGTACATGTACATGTATTACACGTAAAAAGCTGGGGGTTAATTGTCATGCACTGGAACAGTAACACCCAACAACTTTTTGCCAACTTTCCCTCAGCCAAAATGGAACAGCAGCACACAATATTTGCATGTACTGACATCATTGCCAACATGCATTAGATTGCATTTGTTGCACCATTATATCCTTGATAACAATTGGTTTTTTTTAGGTTTGCAAGATCCAATAGCATTTTTCTTGGATTATGGTTTGGATATAGGAAGCCAGATTTCCTGACATTTCTGCAGCCCTTGAGCAAAGAGTTCCAAGATATTTACTCACAAGGTATTTTTAAATTATATTTGTCATTAGCTATATATAAACTTGATATACATGTACTGTGTGTTATAATTCTCAAGATATTTGTGCATGATATTGAATTATCATTGTTATACATGTAACTGCATAATTTGCTCTTGCAGGTATGGAAATTACCAACAGTGAAGGAAAAGACCTCACATTGAGAGGAATTTTATTGTGTGCAACAATGAATGCACCAGCTAAGTGCCTGATGCAAAATTTTGTTCAGTACAATGGCTTTAGTGGGTGTCCTTATTGTCTGGATCAGGGAACTACTGTCAAGACAAGTGCTTAAGGCCACACACATGCCTATCCATTTGACAGAGAAAATCCATCTAAGGGTTATGGAACTGAGCAAACTCATGAAAACACTATGCAGCATGCCTATGATTCTCATAAATCAAGACTAGAGAAGAAGTATGCGCCTGTTTGTGGAGTTAAGGGGTATTCGTGGTTTATGTTTATCCCAGGATTTGACATTATTAAAGGCATTGCTGTAGATTATATGCACTGTGTTCTTCTGGGGGTGACCAAGACCCTTATGACATTGTGGTTCGACAAATCACACACAGCTGAATTCTGGAACATAAGTAAAAGAGTGGAAGAGGTTGACAGGCATTTGCTCAATATTACCCCACCTAATTGCATTTCACGAGCACCAAGAAGCATATCCAAAGATTATGGTCATTGGAAAGCATCTGAGTTTCGGTCATTCCTGTTCTTTTATGGTATCCCATGTCTCTGGAACATTCTACCAGATGAATACTTCCAGCATTTCCTCTTGCTTGCTGAAGCAATATTTTGCGTCACTTCTGCTTGCGGATTGAAGCATTATATGGAAATCGTTATCAAACCTTTAATGTTCATTGCCTCTTGCATCTTCAAGATTGTGTTCAGAATATAGGCCCTTTGTGGGCTTGCTCTTGCTTCTGGTTTGAAGATTATAATGGTGACTTGAGAAAGCTCTTCCACGGTACACAGAAAGTTGAGCTGCAAATTGCATTTTCTGTTTGCATACAACAGAAGATCCCAGAACTGATACCTCTCCTCCCAAGTGGCTCATCAAGTAAAGAGTTTTATGAGGACATGACACGGGGACGACACTTATTGAAATTCAAACGTGAGAAGATATTTGACAATGTATTTGCACTTGGTTTGATGTCACCTGCTGTGTTAGATCCAACCTTAAGTAGTTATATCGAAAGCAAAATAGGCTGTATAGCCAGTCTGTTCACCTTTAAACGAATTCAAGTAAACAGAGATGTAATTCACAGCAAAGCCTATCTGAACATTGTGCGAAGGAACAGCTACACTGTTTTTGTGAATGATGCTGGCCTAGTTGGAGTCAAGTTTTATCTCAAGGTGTATGTACAGTGTCCAAATCGTCTGTTTTGCTCAGGTGCATGCGCTTGCAAGGGTCCACATTATTATGGTGTTACTGATTGTCGTCTTAAACCAGCTACAGACATCGCAATTTCTTCGGAGCAGTTCACTGACTGTAATGTGGGTCACATTATTCCTGCCAGGAGAGAGGAGTGCAAAAATGTGATTTTTCCAGTAACAAGTGTGAAAGCCCTATGTGTTCTGGTTGACTGTAGTCTTAAGCAATGCGTGTTTGTCTGTAAATTACCAAATAGATATGAGAAGGACTGAACAATTGGAACTCTGAAAGCCTGTCCATGCAAGTTAGAACCCAGCTAGGGTTAAAGTTAGTAATAGTATTAAAGGAGCTATGTCATGGTTTGTGAATCTTTAACGGTTTAGCCTCAATTTTTTCAATTTCGTCGTTTGTAATCCATGTCAATCTTCGCCATCCTTAACCATCCTTGTTCCATTTTGGTTTATTATTACCTCATTGGTGTTTTTCTCAAAGTAGTATTTTAAGGTTTCCTTTAACTTAAAGATGATTTTGTACATCGTAGAAAATTACACATAACTCTTGACAATGCTCCTTTAACTCTTTTTCTTGCTCTCAACAAGGTTATTCATTTTCTTTTGCTCATGTAAAAGCATTTTCACTGGACATTTCAGGTGTGTTATTTTTAAAATTAACCCATTGGCTCCCAGAACGTTTTGCAAAAAACTCATTTTTTGGACATTTTGTAGATTTCAGGCTGGATATCAGGGTTCGAATTTAACTTTTTTCTAAGGGAGCCAACTGGCAACTAACCTAAAAATTTTGGTCGCCAAATGGAAGGGTTTGATTACTTAGTTAACTAGCTAACGTAAAAGCGGCATGTTACATTCAATTGGTATCCCCGTTGGGATACAGAGTTCCACGGATCTGCTTCACTTCAGT